TTGGCTGCATTTAACCTTCAAGGAAATTGTGATTTTCCTTGACTGTCATTGACCGCCAAGGTGTTGGGATTTCCTTGGAGGCTGTCCCTCAAGGAAATGCATACTGCCAGCAAAAAAAAAATGCTTTCCATAATAAATTCTAAGATTGTAATCACCAAAATCAATGGACACATGGCATGCACATAGATCATTTTATTATGGTTCCCAACCATTATATTGATTTAAGGCATCAATAAGAATTTTGTAAGTCCATCATACATGCTTACATGAAGTTCATTCATCATAACACAAGCCACTAATAGTTTCCACTGGTACTGATATCATCAACTCTTTGTCATTTCCAATCCTAGCAGGGTGGTTCGATAGCTTCAGCCCAAGAGTTGGCAGACGATGAAACATTGCCCTGTTGTAATTTGTTATATATATATAAGCTATCCAATGCTTTTGAAAGTTATGACAATATGGCAAGGTTCCAAAAGGAAAGTGAAAGAACAGATCCATACGTGACAATGATTCATAGCTTCCCTTGCACATTGAATGACGCAGATAAAGCAGTATTGGATTCATCAAGTGTACACAAACTCAAAGCTTCAGTTCTCTAAGAGTAAAAAAAATAAGAACTTGAGCTATTCTTCCTGCTATTAAACATTATAACTTTGTGCTATTCTTCCTAAATATATTTTTTTTAATGTAATAGACTACATATATGTTGTTATGAAGGAGTTTCAATAATTTTTGAACCCATTTACTATTTTTTTTGTAATGTAAATGAATTTATGCGTGGTTAGAGAAATTGTAATTTCTTGGGTGCCAACTGCCAAGGAAATTACATAACCCTCAAGAAAAACATATTTTTTTGGTGGTTAAGAATAACACTCAAGGGCCATTTTCCTTGACTGTTTATAAGTACACTCGAGGAAATGTGTAATTTCCTTGGAGATGCTTGGAAACTTCCGAGGAAACATCCATATTCCTTGGCGGTTTATGCCAACTCTCAAGGAATACATATTTCCTTGGAGGTCTATGTAAACCGTCAAGAAGACTACACTTTCTTTGACGGTTTCATTTTGCCACTCAAGAAGATTCTCAGCCCTCAAGATAATTACAGTTTCTTGTATTGACACATACTCTCAAAAGTTGGGCGGGCGACGAGGCTGACACATGGTGCACAGTAGTGGCGCCTCTCGTTTAGTCGTTTTTCATCCGTTTGGTTGCTTGCTCGAAGAAAAGAAAAAAATATTATTTATTCTACTACGTTTATACCCGTGCATTGTAAAAGAGAAAAAAAATTACCATAATAATTCAAGTTTGAATCTATGTTGTACCATTATTAAAAACGATGCTCTAAGTGTTATCTTCATAAATAACATTCCATTTATAGTTAATCGTCACTAGCATGTGTGTTCATGATGCACGAACAATTTGCACTAAAGCACATAATTCAACTTTTTATGTAAAATCAAAACAACAAATTTCAGATTGCAATAACCATGTTCACTGTGGCTCTTTGTTCTACCACGATGTTGACAGCCAAAATATGACATTTTGTCTTTTTCTTTTCAGGTGTGTGTGTGTGTGTGTGTGTGGGGGGGGGATAACAGACAAAACATGACTGGGAAGTTGAAGATGCACCAAAAAAAGTCTCGTGCAATAAAAGAATCAAATTGGAGCAAGATTATCAAAATCCAGCAAAAATCGGCCAAATTCGGTTTGAGCAACACACGACGGACAACAAGAAAAATTGACCAAACTGTTTTCAGCAGGCCAAGTAGGACAAAATGACCCAGGCCGGTTTTGGTCGGGAGGCGTCGTAGCCCCCCATAAAAACCTATCCAAGCTGATTTTAGAACCAGACTCGGACTGAGCCGGTTTTGGCTACATGAGATGTGTTTCGTGTTTTCTTTTAGGAACTCATCCAATCTCATGGAAACTTGTAAATTGCATGTGGAATGTGTGAGCCTATGGCACGATCCTGTTGCTCTGAACACTCGTTCATGACCTAGAACATTAGTGGTCTGCGTGCCCCCTATATCCCATGGCGTCACCATGGCACATCACCTCCAGTGGCGGCATTCCCAACTGTCATATGTGAGCTGTGAAGGGCTCAAGTAGTGGGATGGGCGTGGTGCGTTGTCGTGTCGTTGATTCGTCGTCCTCTTTCTGAGAAGGCAATCTACAGTTCATGGGTTTGGGAGCCTAGGCGAAAGTCGTGCCTGACTTGTCGATGCTATTGACGGCAATGCCCTTGGGCGCCGTTAACCTCCTAGGAGGCGTCATTGTAGCCTATCCACCTATGTAATTGTGGGATCTCTCTAGGTGAAAACCTAGCTCCAGATCTCTTGGCGAGTGGCGGTGGTCGTTGATGTCACATTCTACTTGTAGGTGTCAGCATGAAGGGTTGTGTGAGACTTAATCATAACTCTTCTGCAGGATCTTTTGCTTGCACCTCCTATGTGGGGGCATGAGTTGGTTGTTGGATGGTGTCTGCTGCCAGTGTCCTTACTTTGACATCCTCTAGGTTCCTTGATTGCATCCTCTCACCATATGTCAGGTTAGCGGGACCATTATCTCTCTCTTGGATCTCCTCATTCTCTAATCGTCGGTCCTCCAACCCTTGAGGCTTCCTCCCCTCCATGGGCGTAGGTGGAAGGCGATTGGATCTTGGATGAACTCCATAGAAAATGTACATCACGATTGTCATCTGTCAGCTTGACTCAGTTCCTTACAGTTGCCCGTGGAGTGAAGTTCATCGGAGTTCTGTCTATTGGTGGTGCAATGTTCGGCGATCGTCGACGTGTCTCTATCGTGAGAGATGTAGCTCTATTGTTTCTCCTTGTAGATGTTGGTGATGGTTGTTTTTTCCTTTGTATGTGGTGTTGTTGACGGCGGTGTATGTACTCTCTTTTCTCATCTTTTCCTGCTTTGTAACTCTGGGTTCATGACTTAACAATGTAACTGCTATTATCGGCTCTTGCCGAAATCTGTGGTAATGAAATTAAGGTGGAGATAGTTCATCCCCCTGTGATCTTTAAAAAAATCAAAGCCATGGCTAGAAATTGAGCAAAAGGGTGGAGGGGAGACAAAGATGCAAGAGAGTGTGAGAGGGAGAAATAGAGAGAAGTGCCTCAAGTGAGCAAGTGTAAACTAAAGGAATGTTTCAGCATTTATGCCCATGCAAATTGGCATCAGCACTCTAGAGGGGACTAGAGTTTGAACTAGTATGAGACACTAAGAGGGTGTCAGGACTACTCCACTTCACGTTTTTTTTACTTCACTTTATGTTTTTTAGCCAAAAGTTCACCTCTACGCAACTCAGCTACAGGGGAAAAAAAGTAAAGTTGTGAGAGCACTTAGATGAGTGCTCTACGAACTCTAAGTATTTTGTGGAGCTACTTTACGGTGGAGTTCGTGGAGCAATCCATATACGCCCTAAACATAGTTTAGGGACGTTAATATATATTTTGAAGTATTGTGATTTAGACGAGAACTGATAACGTTATGGGCTGCCCGTGAAATTCACTTCAGAAAATGCCCCTGAATTTTTTATTTTTCAGCCCTTATTTTGAAAAATATTCACAAATAGACCCCTGGTGGTTTGATTTTCGTTTATGACCTTCACCTCGGCGCCATAGCTTTGGCGCCGAGAAAACACGTCTCGGCACCATGCCTCATGGCGCCGAGGTCTTGGCGAGGCGTCGGACATGGCGGTGACCTAGGCGCCGACGTGGACAAGGCCTCGACGCCGTAGATCTTGACGCCAAGCTGTTACCCTATAGATCTTGACGTTTGAAATGAAACCAGTAACCATTGCGGTTCAGTTGGTTAGAACGCACGTGATTTAACTTCAAAGGCCTGAGTTCGAACCTAGCGCTAAATCTTCTTTTCTCGAAATAATTTTTCATGTTCGCGAGGAAAGAAACATCATCGGAGGGGGCTCTAGAAACATCCCGGGTGTGGCGGCGAGGATCCGAGGATCCCGGCGCCGACATCCCGGTTGCTGTGTGGATGGTCGTGCCCATGGGGCGTTTCCGCGCTCGACGTCGCACGCCGTGTCGACGTTGTGGGCACGAGGTTCAAATCGAACCATCCTGTTGGTGGAGGTGGCCGAGGATGAGAACGCAGAGGTGGACCCGGCGGTTGAGCGGGTCTCCAACTGCGTCATCACATGGGAGGTCGTCTCCGTCGTCTTCTGCAGCAAAGTCTCGAATGACTTGTCTGCGGAAGAACGCCGTGTCTCCGGCATGCTTAGCTTGGCCAAGGTGGCCTTCGTCGTCTCTTGGAACCCGGCGAATTATTGCGTCGCCATGGTGTCCATGGAGGTCTTCAGGGACTCGATCGATTGCGCCATCTCTTGCTGTAGCTTCGTCAGCTTGCGTTTGGGCGCCAACACGAGGAATCACCAGCGAATGGAAAAAAAATCCAATCGAAAGGTTGTTACTGCAACGGAGATATAGCATGTTTGTTGAAATAATTTTTCTTCTTCTATTACTTATAAAAATGTAGAAAAAAAGATTTAGCGTTGGGTTCAAACTCAGGCCTTTAAGCTTAAGTCGTCCACGTCATAATCAGCTGAACCGCAATGGTATTGTTGCATATTTCTCGGAACAATTATACTTGTTTCATTTCAAACGTCAGGATCTATGGGGTAATAGCTCGGCGTCAAGATCTATGGCGCCGAGGCCTTATCCACGTCGACGCCAGATCACCGCCACGTTCGACGCCTCATCAAGATGTCGGCGCCATTGGCCATGGCGCCGAGACGTGTTTTCTTGGCGCCGAGATCAGGATCTATACACAAAAATAAAACCATCAAAGATCTATTTGTGAATATTAAAAAGAAGGCTGAAAAATAAAAAAATTCGGGGACAACCAGACTAGCCTCATGAGATTAATGAAGCACATCTTTAACTGACCCAGGCCCAGCTCCAGGAAGTAGAACAGAACACGAGAAGTTGACTATCGCGAGGTGGCCAGAGGCCAGGAAGAAAAGTAGCGGCGGCATGGGGTCGCCCAAGGCGGCCAAGAGCATGCTGAAGCAGCGCATCTGGCGTCACCGGCTCATCGCGCCGTTCGCTGCCGTTCTTATCACGGCCGTCCTCGCCCTCGTCGTATTCTCCGGCCTTTTCGCGCAGGATCCAAACGGTGAGCTTTCGATGGTTACAGTTTGACAGCTAGTGCATCTTTCTTCTCTTGCTTTCTTCCCCCCCCTATCACCGAATTTGTATGTGTGTTCTTACTAGAGTTTATTGGGACTCGTAGCCACCTCGGAGTTCACTGCCGTAAATGTGGCTAACACCCGACCAGTGCGCGAGAAGTCGGAATCCACAGGTAAAATCGAATCTATGTGGCTTCAAAACTTATTCCCTTGTCTTACTTGTTCATGGCTGGAAGGAGATCTTGTCAAAGCAAGGAAGTTCTTTTTTTTGTTCTGTTTTAGTTGGTGGAGTTTGGGTTTTGGAATCAGGACCGGATTGGTCGGATTTGATAATTTGGTTTCCAAGGTGCAGCAGCCAGTGGATCTCCCAACAAGGAGGATCTTGCAGCAGCGGCATCTGATCAAGATTTCGATGATGGAAATTCTGGTTTGGCATTGTTACTTCTCTTACTACTATTTCATGTCCCAATCTGAGGTGACTAGCTAATTTGAAGTTCTGAATCTCGTGAGTTGGCGAAATGTAGAGCCCAATCAAGCTTTCCAAGGCACCATGCCTGCAGCAGACGAGGGAGGGACAGCAACGGCAGTGCCGGCCCAACTAGAAAGAAGCACTGGAGGATCTGGTATGCCGCCCTGGTATCATCATGAAGTAGTTTCCAGATGCTACAAATGCAGCTCACACTGTCTATACTTGTTTTCTGGACTCACATCTAGAACCTGAAGAGAAGCAATCGCCCCCACAGGACCAGGAAGGAGAAGAAACCACTGCTAAATCAGGTACTGTGCAGACACATCTCTATTTGCATGGTTTGTTTCTATGCTGTGAATACACTGCTGGGTAAATACAAAATTCTGTACCACAAGGCTGGACTAGTATAGCAAAGATAGTGTGTTCCAACTTCACCTGTGCTATCGGGCACTGAGTAAAAAGGGCAGTTAAAGGGAAAAATGGCGTGCTTGTGATTGGTTAGTAAAGCCCTTGCTTCCAATGGAATAAAAATAAAGATAAAAGGTAGTGATATGCTTTAGTTTAACCACATGTAAATTATCATTTGTTGTAGACATTTCTTACATTTAGCAGCTAATTATTCGTACTGATGGTCCATGTGTTTGGAAGTCTTGTGCTCCTAACTTCCAAAAGTTGTTTGTCAAGGGCGTCAAACCCTTGAGTAGCTGGACCTCGGCTACGTAATTCGTAGCCGCGATCCGTCTTCTAGGGCGAGGTTATACCCCTCAGCGACCTAGGCTTGAGAGTTGGGAGGAAGAAGACAGATTGGTTTATATCTTTCTTATTCTCCAAGGTGCCGGTTACAGGGGAAATATATAATCCTTGATGGAATAAAAATAGTAACTAATCCCTCCTCAATCTTAGGGATACTAACAACTATTGCCTATATTAGCCACTAGAAGGCTCGGCCAACCCCTGGGCCGTGTCCGTGACGCGCTGAGCGCGCTCAGCCGCGCGCCTGATGTCACGAGCCCGGCGCCTCCTGGTATAGGTCCGGCCGTACATGACATTGTTTGAGGGCAATAGCTGTGAAAATTAAACAAGTTAAAAGTTTCATAGTCTTGGGCTACATTGGTACAAAGAATCGGAGGGAAGATTGCAACAAATTTTTTATGTATACATGTAGGATCACACTTTCGAAGTTTAGATATACCGTGTTAGCATGTTATCTGAGGGCGATAATTAATTCACTTTGAGGACTAAGTATGATGACTGCATTTATTTATATTTGCTTAGATCCTCCATAAAGCTTGTCTTTTCAAAGCCTTAGCTTACAGCAGAGGGCTTAGAATTAACCTGTCACAAATGAATTCCCACAAAGAAAAAAAGGTTTGAATGGCAACCAATATGCTTTTTATGAAGGTATTTTGTAAAAATGTCACAGAAAAGCATAAATCGTGTTTTCTTTTTGTTTTTATTTCTAAATGTAGCACAATGTTCATTTATCATGGATAATAGGACATCAGAGTTTCAAGTGCTGAAATAGGAACATTTATTATTGTATCAAACAAAGGCATGGTGCTTCATTGAAGGAAACAAAAATACATTAGTACAACTAGAAGTATCCCACTAGCACCCATGCTTTTCTGGTTTCTTGGATTAGATCTACTTCTGTATTTAACAGATGCAATGTTTCCTAATCTATTTATACTTTCGAAAGTATACCATGGAAAGTTTGAAACATGCCTTTCCATGAAATTTGATTTCTTTTAATGAAACAATGCTGGCTTCATATAATTACACCCTTCCACTTTGTCCAACGAAATGTATCTTAACGGTTTAAGGTGTGGCATACAGAGGATGTTGCATTTTGAGTTATTTTGGAGTAAAGGACTACCATCTCCAGTCTTATTTGCTTGTTTATAGGAGATGGACACAGTCCCTTCATCACTTTTCTCCATTTCTTTATCTAAATATATACTAACAAAATATTAATAAAATCATAGAGATATAGAAGTACTTTTGAGGTTGATCTTATTAAATATTATTCTCATGTAATATGACTTATCTACACATTTTGATCTATAACAGTAATCAAGAAATGGAAGTTCCATTGCACAGAATCTAAAAGATGAAATGTATTTTGTACCTGAAGAATTTATCCAATCTAAGTCCAGCTGAACATTTTGGTTTGATTTGGTTGTGTTTTACAGTAGCACTGCATGATGCTTTTGAGGCATTTTCTAATCTTCTACGATATTGCACAATGAAAGCAAATCATGCATCATCAGATATTTCGTTACTGATGTGATTTGATGGCCATTAAAGTACATAGTAACTTTATCCTGAACTGCATACTTATCCAATTCGTACACAGGTCATTTGTTGTCACAGCCTACATGCGCGATAGGTATACCATTAGAGCTTATTCCATTGAGTTGCTCTTTTGTTTTCCCTAGATGCTCCCACGATGTGGTGTTATCCCCATATTTATGTCCTATAATTTAGTCCTTATGGAACAACTCGGTATCAGCCAAAGCCAAACCCTTTCTTTGCTCGCAGTGACAGTCGCTATTGTTTCAGAAAACAGAAACCATCAATTGTTTAATAATTACATGTACTAACATTTATAACTGCCGGCTGCATATTATTGACCAACAGGTTTAGTTCAGAACACAACATGCACACCTCGAACCGGAACAACCATCTGTGATCTCTCCAACCAGCGCTTCGACATCTGTGAGCTTTGTGGTGATGCTCGCACCATTGGTCGCTCCTCCACTGTAATGTATGTCCCACAGTCCCTTACTTCCAATGATGAAGAGTGGAATATTCCAGCACAGTCACGGAAAAGCCTTCCATGGATCAAGAAGGTGACTGTCAAAACCCTGAAGGCTTCCCAACAGGTGCCAAGTTGCACATCCAGGCATGCCATACCGGCCATTGTCTTTGCATTAGGCGGGTTTACAGCGAATGCCTGGCATGACTTCAGTGATGTCCTTGTCCCTCTGTTTCTTACTGCCCGCCAGTTTGACCAAGATGTCCAACTACTTATCACCAATAATCAGCCCTGGTTCATCAAGAAATACTCAGCAATTTTTCATCGCCTCACGAGACACAATATTATTGATTTTGATGCAGACGAGGAGGTCAGGTGCTATCCACATGTCATTGTTGGGCTGAGGAGCCACCGGGATCTTGGTATTGATCCTAACTCTACACTGCAGAACTACACAATGATGGATTTCCGTTTGTTTGTCCGTGAAGCCTATGGATTACCTGCACCTGAAGTGGATATACCATACAGGGTTGACAAAGATGACTTTGAAAAGAAGCCCCGGATAATGCTCATTGACCGGGGCAAGACACGAAGGTTCATGAATATGCCTGATGTTTTGAGAGGGCTTGATTGGTTTGGTTTCGAGGTGGTCAGGGCAGATCCAAGGATTGATTCTAATCTTGAGGAATTTGTCCGCCTAGTTGACTCATGTGATGCAATGATGGGTGTTCACGGTGCGGCCTTGACTAACATGGTGTTCCTGAGGTCAGGCGCAGTGTTGGTGCACGTTGTACCCTACGGGATTGAGTTCATGGCTAACGGATTCTACGGTGCACCTGCAAGGGACATGGGCCTAAGACACGTTCAGTACAGCATCAATCCAGATGAGAGCACACTACTGGAGAAGTATGGCGGGAACCATACAGTGATAAAAGATCCAGAAGCCATAAGGAACAGTGGATGGGAGAAGGTTGGGGAGTTCTATATGACCAAACAGGACGTTGTGCTCAACATGACGAGGTTTGGACCTAGTTTGTTGAAGGCAATAGAGTTCATTGTGTAGGTGGATGAGATGAGGTTTGTGTTAGCTACGGAATTTTACCATTTTTCACTGAAAAATGATGCTAGTGTACACTGTCTTTTTTTTATAGGTTTTATTGTTCTTGTGCTGCTTCTGTACAGAGTTGAAAATGTATGATTCGATTGATTGTGCTATGGATGTTACAGAAAAGATGATATTTTGGTTTACTGATGTTCAGTTTAATCTTGCCTCCAAATTGCACTCTTGGCATCTTGGTTGCTGCCTGTTCACAATTCAGTTACTGTCTTGTTGATGGACACATGAAACCAACAAACAAGGGAAATTACCCAAAATAGTGAAAAACAAATACAAGCAAGGAAGGCTATCAAATTTTGTGGAGTTCCTATTATCTGATCCTGCTTTCAACTAGTATAATTTTACAAAGAAGCATGTAGTTAAGCAAGGAATGTTGTCGCTTATACTAGAATAGTAGAATGCTTGTCTATTGTCCTGTACTACGACGGAGACACTCATGACAGATACCAGAAGATGGCACCCGCACGTTGCTACCGCTTTCTGCCTGTTCGCTTGACTCATAAGCCATGGCTGAAAGTGCTGTTGGCTGATTTGTTGTGAGAGAAAAATATTGTTCGTTGGCTGAAAAAGTACGGCTTATAAGCCAAGCGTTCAAATTCAGAAGCTGTCGCCTATCGACAATCATTGGAGATGTTTGGTAAAGGTTTACTAGACATGGCAATTTACTGTAGACATGGCACGATAGCGGGGCTAAAATTTCACCGCAGGATATTTCGCATATAATTTTTTTTCAATATATATAAATATGCAATATATTGGACCATAAATTCATAACACAATGACCATAACAAGAATACAATGCAAAAAACATTAGATTGCAGCGATTCATTCTAGATTTCATCAATCAAGATTTCAATTTGTTTTGGACTAGAGAAGAAAACAAGTGGACTGAAAAATGGATCTAGGATGGGGAGACATGGGGGGGACTGAGGGAGAGGGGTACTGCCGTGCTGGTTGCTGCAGACTGTAGTGACTGCCAATGGTTTCAAGGTCGTCCGCTCAGCCGTTGGACGATGCAGGTTGCCGATTGCAGGAGCGAGGGGGCGAGTTGAGCGGACATCGAGGCTGGGAGGGAGGGCCGAGGTGGATCCGGGGAGGGGTGCTAGCTGCGTCGTGAACTCTGCTGACTTCCAAGTCAATGTGCCGCAACTCACTTATATTTCTATATTTGTTTTGTTGCGAAAAAAAACATGGGTATTCCATGGAATATAGGGATACCCCTAGCTCCACCCATGCATGGCACACCAGCTTGCAGCTGCGGCTGTAGAAAACAGTACCGAGCACGCCATCATATGCGCGATTCAAATGGTTTATCAAGGCAGTGGACAAGCTTTGAAGAGCATACTTATGGAAGGGTCGTAAGCAGATCTGATGGTGGAAGTTGTTTGATAGCTTGGGAAAAGGTGCAGCGACCACTTGATCTTGGGGGACTGGGTGTCCTTAATCTTGAGTACATGAGCTGGGCACTACAAATGCGCTAGCTGTGGTTCGCAAGGACAGACAGTAACAAATCCTGGGCAGGACTTGAAATTCCAGTTCATCCCAACGTGGTGGCACTCTTTTCTATTGGTCTGATCTCTCATATGGGCAATGGAAACAATACATTTTTCTGGACAGATAGGTGGCTTTTTGGATGACATTGCTCCTAATGTGTTCTCTGCGGTGCCTTGGAAATTTTTGAAACGGTCGGTGGCTGAAGCTTTTCAAGAGCAACGTTAGCCAAGGGACGTGGAAGGAGGTCTGTCGATAATTGGACTGTTTGAGTATTTTCAGTTGTGGGACATCATACAAGATTTCTTGCTGACCACAACCGAAGACTTACACAGTTGGAGGTTTGAGAGCTCTGGATTTTTCTCATCCAGATTAGCATATCGGGCTTTCTTTAATGGGTCGATCACTTTTGAGCCATGGCGGTGCATCTGGAAATCTTGGGCTCCGGCCAAGCGTAAAGTTTTTCTTTGGTTGGCTGTTAGAAGACAGCGGATCGTTTGGCCAAACGAAATTTGCGGCATCCGAGTCTTTGCCCGTTGTGTGATCAAGTAGAAGAAACCATCCAGCACCTATTAACCTCCTGTGTCTTCGCACGTGAATTCTGGTTCAGAATTTTGTCACCGGTAGGTTTCCAAAGGTGCGTGCTAGACAACAGGGATCAAGACTTCGCAGGTCGGTGGAGAAAAGCAGCTAAGCAGGTACCCAAAGAAAAGAAGAAAGGTTTCAAAACTTTGATCATCCTAGGTGCATGGCTTCTATGGAAACATAGGAATGCTTATGTTTTCAAAGGAGCGAGCCCGAGCATGAATGATTTGCTCCGCTCCTTTGATGATGAGCACCATCTTTGGCGTCTCGCAGGGGCACGAAAGCTTGGCGCTTTAGGTCAAAAGGTGGCAACAACCTAGCTGTTGTCAATAGTTCGTGTGTTGTGGGTCAGGTCCTACCCAGTGTTTGTGTTTTAGTGATCTAGGCCTTGTTGTAACTTAGCACCCCCACAGCTCGGGCCGGAGTGGGGGGAGACTTCTTATACGGGTCCGTTTTTTCCTCTCTTAATGCAATGATACGCCGCTCTCCTGTGTATTCGAGAAAAAAAAACATGTGCCCTCATGCTGTGATCACTGGCCATTGATACACATCTTGTTCAACGTTTGTGTTGTCTTTTAGAGTGTCTCACGTTACCATTGCCGATCGATCCTTCCCCCTTACCTCTTGCCTGCAAGTCTCCCTACACAACATCAATATACTGTCGAGTTTGACACAAACCAACTACCTCTAAGGGGTGTAGAAATATCCTGTCTTAGGGACAGTTGGTCTGGTATCAAACTTAACAACGATGATGAGCTCATGGGGCAGCAGGAAAAATCGTTTTTATTTTTCAGTTGAATGTTATTGAGCAATGACTGTTGTTGGTTGCCAATTATCCGACGTGTGTAAAGATGCAAACATAGAGATCAGATGATAAGAACGTAGCACCCATCAGCCAAAATTGCTTTAATAATCCGAACATTCACAAGGTACGCACAATCATTATATGATATTTTTAACCCTTTTTATTTATATTTGTACAATTTATTTTCGTCTATTTACATTACTAGAATTACCATACTAGTATAAGGTTGAAACTAGGTTGCAAAATTTTGTGTAGACTAAAAATACATACTCTCTTCATTTCAAATTATAAGTCATTCTAACTTTCTTAGAGAGTCAAGGCATCTCAAGTTTAACCAAAATTATAGAAAGAATTACAAAAATTTATGACATCAAATAGACATACTATGAAAATAATTAATAAAGAATCTAATTATACTTATTTGATATCATAAATGTTATTATTTTATTATATAAATTTGGTCAAATTTAAAATGCTTTGACTCTCCAAAAAAATTATAATGACTTACAATTTGGAATGGAGGGAGTACTAGACACAAGAGGTGAAACGAGCTAAGTGATAGATTTTAATTTCGTGAGAACTTTAGTTTAGCCAATTTACACCCCTTCTTTAACATCTTGATCCTTTCAATGGGGTACATGAGACAAGATGGGTCTTGAGCATGGTGTATCCATGCCCCATCTATTATAGATGCTAAAGAAGATGTCTTTCTCATATTCAAATCATCGTCATTGTTCCTAAACACATTGAAATTAATGGCATTAGGTAGCAACAAATATAATTCTTATTTATATCCTCATTGTTCCTAAGCACCTTGTTTTTAAGTTTTATGGGTGTCGTCAGACATGTTTGTCGGTACTTATAATTCATAAGGAAAGTACATCTCGACTTGGACTAGTGCAGTTGTGAGAAAACTAGTGGCAACAACTTGTGGTTAGCAGTCAGTTTCATGCACAAAATATATCACTTCACAGAAAATGGATCTCCAAATGTCATGCTCTTCACCCTGACATCAGAGAATTGGCAAATGCTTGTGGTAGCTTTGCTTTTGTTGGTACTTATAGTTCATAAAGAAAGTACATCTCGACTTGGGCTAGTGCAGTTGTGAGAAAGCTAGTGGCAACAACTTGTGGTTAGCAGTCAGTTTCATGCACAAAATATATCACTTCACAGAAAATGGATCTCCTAATTGGCTAATTAATGTCATGCTCTCCACCCTGGCACATCAGAGAATTGGCAAATGCTTGTGGTAGCTTTGCTGTAGTTTTGAAAAGTTGCGGCCTTTTGTTTTGGAGAAGAAATGGTGATTGTTTATATATGGGTCGTATAGAGCAGCAAGGGGCAGCTTTGGACCAAGATATATTATATATTATATATAAATCAAGAATAGAATGAAGGACCCTAAACAACAGGTCTGAACCAGATTTCTATATATATAAAGGACCATAAACATTTCATAGTTTTCATGATCTGCTGAAAAATACAAAATGCAATACAGCAGAACTACTACACAATGACTTGGCCCAACCTTATCTAGGGCCTATTTGGGACTACTTCACTCCATGTTTTTCAGCTCGGCTCCATGTTCTTTAGCCAAAGTCCGGAGAATGTGCCAAAAGCAGATGATTTTGACGGCTGCCATATGCTTCACAAAAAGGTTCTCCATTTTGCCGCTATAGAAAATAATGTGGAGTTGAGAGGGCACCTAAAGTGGTGCTCCTGAAACTCCAGATTTTTTTAGAGCTACATCACAGTAGAGTTTGTGAAGCAGAGTTTGTAGAGCAATTCCACCAATTTTCAGTAGGGGCGGCTCACTCACCGGCCACCCCTATAGTGGCGATGCCTAGGACCTGCTAAGCCAGTCTCCTCTACAAATGGATTAGTAGAGGCGGCAGTGTATTATTAGTCGCCCCTAAAAATAGACCTATTTTCAAGAGCGGCTGGTAACACCAGTCCCCTCTATAAATTCATTTGAGCTGCCCCTATTAATGTTCCACGGTATATGTAGCAGCCCTCCTTCTCAGGTCACTTACTGTTACTCGAGAAAAAGGAAGGGGGTCTTAGG